CGCCTTCCTACAATGCAAGGTGTGGTTTTTCGAAAACCACTCACTTTTCGGTTAAACCACGTTCGAGCGATCCAAGATGGAAGGACACCGACATGAGTAGGCATCAAGAAGTGGCCGATGTTGTCATTATTGGTGGTGGACCCGCTGGTTTTGCCGCTGCCTGTAAACTCAAACAGATGGCCAACTTGGACAACCGTCCAGACTTTCGTGTTGTTATCTTAGAGAAAGCTGCATATATCGGTTGGTCAATTTGGAGATATTTACACTCGCATAGGCGGACACATTCTGTCAGGCGCATGCATCGAACCGGAAGCCCTCGGGGAGATCTTCCCGAACTGGAGGGAGTTGAAAGTACCTCGACTTTCCACATCCATTTTAGGCCCCACTTAACACGCCAGTAACTTCAGACTCCTTTTATTTTTTAACAGAAAAGCACAGCTTTCCGGTTCCTCTTCTTCCAGGTTAATTGCCGAATTTTCGACAAAACTCTTAGGTCTCCCTATGCGAAATGAGGGTAACTTTATTGTTCGTTTGGGACATCTTGTTGCCTGGATGGGGCAGCAGGCCGAAGATCTAGGTGTGGAGGTCTATCCTGGTACCGCTGCCTCCGAGGTTGTCCATTTATCACCGATTAACATTATAGGTTTTATTTGGCAAAGAGGGTCAAGTCATCGGTGTGGCTACAAACGATGTTGGCATAAATAAAGACGGGTCACCGAAAGACACCTTTGAGCGTGGCATGGAGATTCTTGCTAAACAGACGATTTTCGCTGAGGGTTGCCACGGTCATTTAACTAAAAAGGTGCGCATACTTCCTTACTTAGGATAAAATAAGCGTATTATGTTCAAAGATGATTACTTAACGTGAATTGTGCCTAAATCACGTTTTTGAAAAGAAATAACTTCATTTTTTTATTGATAATCTACAAGTCTGTGCCTTTTTGACCATTTGCATTCTGCTTTCACACACCTATTGTGCCTGGAGAAATCTGGCATTCGCTATTTATGCGATATTTAACTTTTGCATTATCTTCAAGATAGGCGAAGTAACGAATCTCTTCTAGGACTTCGGTTAATATGATTTGTTGCACAACTAGTTGTCGTCTTACCAACCTATTATTTATCATACCCATCTTCAGATGATTAAGAAGTTCAGTTTACGAGAAGACTCACGGCCTCAAACATATGGCATTGGATTCAAAGAGTTGTGGGAAATCAAGGACTCAGCGTGGAGTCCAGGTCATGTCGAACATGGTATAGGATGGCCTATGGTGAGTTTTGCTTTGTGTTTTTTTCTCCTCGATACCTTGGTTAATGTTTTAAGTGCACTGCGCTCCAGCCTTATTTGACCCTTCGAAGCTCTTGTCGTTCAAAATGGTTGAACAAACCTTGAGTCTAGACGCACTATTCTGATAACATTTAAAAGAACGAAAAGGCACACCATACTTTCCAGTGTAATCTCATAACGAGCTTCTATGTAATTTATTTTCGTGCATACATTTTGGCAAGGCCTCGTATAGTTTAGCTTTATACACGTTTCTTATTTTCAGACGGAAATATCTCTTATTAGTCGCTTAACCAATAAACAGTGATTTTCCGTCCGTAAGGCGGACGTATAGGGTTTTTCTCGTTTGTAAGTAAATGCACTTGGTCTAAAAGCGTTAATTTTTCATTTTTGACCATCTTGGCTTAACACTGCATTTTACTTGCTTGCTTTCAGTCTAATGAAAACTATGGTGGCTACTTCATTTATCACTACGCTGGTGAAAGTCCGCTGATTGCGTTTGGATTTGTAGTAAGTTTGATTTCTTCGACTAGCAGAGGGTTTTTAATGAAGTATCGTTTTTAGGTTAGTTATGCGTCCTAAAATAGTCAGTTTTGTGGTTGGAATCGTATAAATTAAATTTTATCGAGGTAATAGTATAATAAAAAGGTGTGGATAGAGTTATTCATACTTGGTTCTTTTTAAAAATAGCAAACGATAGAAAATATACTACTTGCTCTATTGTCGTGCAAAATAGCTAAAATGGTCGTTAATTATTATGTTATTTGAGTATGGATAATTTTTTGTGGCACTGCCATGATTTCACTGATCCTGTCGACATATGACGGTCCCTCCAAAGAGTTGGATTTGAGTGATTCGCATATAATACTTGCATAATAAAACCAATTTGAAACCCCCCCCCAAGGATTTGCCTTATCTTTTTCAGTCAATTTATATCAGGTCGCTTTTTATGCAGAATTCATTTCATTCGAGTCAGCGCGGTAAACTTGCGTTGGTCTGATCTGTTTGATTCATTTGCAACATCAGCGTGGCAAGCGGCCTTTGGTTACCTTAAGCAAGTTGACACATACCCGTAGTATGTAAGCATTTTCTATCCCCACTATGTGTTATTGTATTGATTACACTAGCCAGATCTCCACATTTGAAACCTCTTTGGCTACAGTGTCTTCTTAATTAGCTCGAAGTCCTCGTTCTTTCGTGTGACAATCGTTCGGATTGTGACCCTTCCTTAGCCGGTTAGTCTTGTGGCAGGTTATTGTCTTAAGGCTGTACGTCTGGAGTTACTGCCATCTAAAGTTTTTCTTGGTGTCTGCTGATGATCATCTTCGCAGCCTGCCAATGAATATCATTTTATAAATTTACTTTTCACGACTACTAGCATATGGCTGCGTTTTCATGTACACTTGAATTGATTCTCGTGGTTGTTTTTAAATATTTCAGATAGGTCTTGATTATGAAAACCCGTATCAGAACCCTTACAAGGAATTCCAGCGCTTGAAACAGCATCCACGCTTTGACAAACTCCTCAGTGGTGGCAACCGTGTGGCTTATGGCGCGCGAGCACTAGCCGAGGGTGGCTCTCAGTCGATACCCAAATTGACTATGCCTGGTGGCCTGCTGGTCGGTTGTACTGCAGGTTTTCTCAATGTGCCAAAAATCAAGGGTGTCCACAATGCCTTGCGGTCCGGCCGAATAGCAGCAGAGTCCGCGTATAAGGACATCTGCGGAGCTGATGATTCCCATAAGCCTCTGGGTAATACCTAGCAAATTTTCTTCATTTAAACGCACTTCGATTCAATCAAAGAAAAGAAACTGTTTGTCTGTCAAAAAGGTCCCCTGACTTTCAATATCCTCGTGCTGTAAAATGTGTTTGAGTTTGGTCTTAAAATACTGTAAGTAAAGTGTGCACATGCTAGAGGGAATTAATAGTAACTGGTTTTTGACTTATAATATACAAAGAGATAGTCGCACAATTATCCTGCGTCAAGAATTGGAACGTTTAGACGCTACGCCATTGAGCGATAACCTTATTGAAATGGTGTTCCTTGCACGCAGCTAGCGTCCTTGGGTATCCTTTCTCAACAAATCCTCGCACACCCGTTTTACATAATCCTGATCACTACTTTCGGTTTTTGTGCCTCGTAGTTAAAAATGACGATGACGGTTATACAACACCGTCTGTTCTATTGCTTCTGTTTACTGATTGTGTCACTGTTGTATACAGACGAGGTAGGCATATGTTTTGGTCAATCATCGCGCTCTAATTTTTCTTGATCCATTTTTTTCCACAATAAGACAAATAACGTTACCCGTTAAATTGTAATACTTTTTATAGCTGTTTAACAGTCTAGGATTTTTGCCGAGAGTTTAAGTCACATGTCTTGGTAAAGAAGAGCTTGTGCGTGGCCCATCTGTTACCGCATTTGTAGACGACGTTAATACCCAGTTAGAAAGTTAAATGTGTAACCGAACATAAAAATAATGGTCGACCCTAAGGTAGCGTTTGATAGTCATGTGTTAATTTAAAAAAATACTAATAGTCGGGGCATCAGTGACACATGATCCAATGAAAGTGCTTAGCCAACTTTGATATTGGTGCGTATAAATACGCAAGATTTGCTAGTCTCTGTGATTTGCACGTCTTCCGGGCCGAGCCTAGTTTAGACAGGGCTAATGTAGTTTCACGTTTGCCGTAGTACATGCCTTGCCTTATTTAGCCGTAATGTGCAAAAACCTTTTAGTAACGCTACTTCAGTACTGTTAATGAGCATATCAAACTGAGATTCCTGCATTTTTTTCTGTGCGACTGCAGTATTTATCCCTTCTAATTAATACCTAACAATGTACTTTTTGTTTTATTCAACTTAGTACGCATTTTTCTTGTTGAAGCTTATTTCTTTTTAATTTTTACTTTTCAGAAGTCCTTTCATACCCCGTTGCCCTTAAGAATTCAGTCGTTTGGCAGGAACTGTACAGTGTCCGCAACATACGGCCCAGCATGGATGCTCTAGGGCTCGGCATGTTTGGTTGCATACTCTACACTGGCCTGATTTGGTACTTCCTGCGGGGAAAGGAACCTTGGACTTTTAAGATCAAAGGTAACTTTCAACATAGTAATAGACGTTTTGGAACGTTGGATGAGTGTTCCTTGTACACAGAACGACATTTGAGGCTTAGGTACACTGCAGTCGGATTTTATATTAGGATGAAGTGGTTTTTTAGCACCTAGTTAATATAGTTATTCCCAGATATAAAGTCCGTACTCTTGTTCATCCCCGCCTTCTTGTTGCTGTTAGGCAGGTCATGATTTTCACTGTTATCAGATGCGGTGGCCAATACCTCTATGGTCGTTCAAAAATTCAGT